ATTGGGATACAAGAGTTACAAGCCGGCCAAGATCTCTCTTATACTAGCTGATAGATCGGTTCGCTTACCGGTGGGTTTGCTTGAGGATTTACCTTTAAGGATCGGTGAGATAGAAATCCCCACGGACTTCATAGTTCTTGAGATGGACGAGGAACCATTGGACCCTATCATCTTGGGCCGACCGTTCCTAGCGACTGCAGGAGCCATTATAGATGTGAGAGGAGGAATGATTGAACTACACATCGGTTCCGAGCATATGAAGTTCAATGTAAAAGAGATGATGAAGAAACCGACTATTGGAGGTCAGGTTTTCTATGTGGAAGTGATGGAGGAGCTAGCTGATGAGCTCCTGGAAGAGTTGAACGCAGAGGATCCGTTACAAGTGGTCCTTACACGTGAACAAAGCGAGCACGGGTACTTGAACGAGGAAAGCGAGGTATACAAGCAACTTTTGGACCAACCGAAGGAACTTGGAGCTGAAGCTAGGTTTTTGGAGCTAAGGAAGAGTGGCCTCGACATCTTAGACAGCGAGGGGTCCATGGGAACAAAGGAGACACCTCGGGATATCATGGCTGTGGCAACTCATACCGAGGCCGATGGTAATCCGCGCGAGAACAAGGAAAAGGCCGAGGAAGCTGTTCCGGGCCAATGTAGCTTTGATACCGATTGGAATGAGGCAGACGCTCCCCCTGTTGAGCTCAAGCCTCTACCAACAGGGCTCAGGTATGCGTTCTTAGGCTTGAACTCTACTTTCCCTGTGATCATAAACGATAGCTTGCTTGAACATGAAGAACGTGCATTGCTTAATGAAATCAAGAAGTTCAGGAGAGCAATAGGGTATTCCTTGGCCGACATAAGAGGAATCTCTCCTGATATATGCACTCACAGGATCCACCTGGAGGACCAAGCCATGTCCTCTATTGAGCACCAACGTCGCCTTAACCCGAACCTCAAAGAGGTGGTTAAGAAGGAGATACTAAAGCTCCTTGAGGCAGGGATCATATATCCAATCTCTGACTCTCGGTGGGTATCTCCTGTGCACGTTGTGCCCAAGAAAGGTGGTATCACGGTGGTAAAAAATGATAAGGATGAACTCATAGCCCAAAGAACTATAACCGGCTATCGCATGTGCATTGACTATAGGAAATTGAATTCTGCATCAAGAAAAGATCATTTCCCTTTACCATTCATTGATCAAATGCTTGAACGGTTAGCCAATCATCCTTATTTCTGTTTTCTCGATGGATACTCTGGATTCTTCCAAATACCAATAGATCCAAGAGACCAAGAGAAAACGACATTCACTTGCCCTTATGGCACTTATGCTTATAGGAGAATGCCTTTCGGTTTGTGTAATGCACCGGCCACTTTTCAAAGATGCATGATGCACATTTTCTCTGATCTAATTGAAGAGAAAGTTGAGGTGTTTATGGATGATTTCTCCGTATACGGCTCCTCTTTCTCCGAATGTCTTGCTAATCTTTCTCAGGTTCTAAAAAGATGTGAGGAGCATAGGCTTGTATTGAACTGGGAGAAGTGTCATTTCATGGTACAAGAAGGCATTGTCTTGGGGCACAAGGTATCAGAGAAGGGAATTGAGGTGGACAAGGCCAAGATCGAGGTGATGGTGAACCTACAAGCTCCCAATTCCGTAAAAGGGATAAGAAGCTTTCTTGGGCACGCTGGGTTCTATAGGCGGTTCATCAAGGATTTCTCCAAGATAGCTAGACCTTTAACTAGGCTATTGTGCAAAGAGGTGGAGTTTATCTTTGATGAAGAGTGTGAGGGAGCGTTTAAGAGGATCAAGGAGGCTTTGATCAGTGCACCTATTGTACAAGCTCCTGATTGGTCTTTACCATTCGAAGTGATGACTGATGCATCTGACTATGCCGTGGGAGCTGTCTTGGGGCAGAAGAAAGATAAGAAACTCCATGTGATCTATTATGCAAGCTGCACCTTGGACTCAGCTCAAGAAAAGTATGCAACCACCGAGAAGGAAATGCTTGCCATTGTGTTCGCATTTGACAAATTCAGGAGTTACTTAGTTGGATCAAAGGTCACGGTCTACACTGATCACGCGGCCTTGAGGTACTTGATGTCTAAAAAGGATGCTAAGCCGAGGCTTTTGAGATGGGTCCTATTGCTCCAAGAGTTCGACATGGAGATACTTGACAAGAAAGGCATAGAAAATGGGGCCGCAGATCATCTCTCAAGGCTGAGGATTGAAGAAAAGGTCCCCATAGACGATGCTTTACCTGAGGAACATCTCATGCTGGTACGGTCTTACTTAGAGGTGGAAGAGGCCAATACAATCAAAGAAAGAAGCCTCCCATGGTTCGCGGATCTTGTGAACTACCTGTCTTGCGGTTTAGAGCCACCGGATCTTGATGCCTATCAGAGGAAAAAGTTCTTTAGAGATGTGATGAGATATCATTGGGATGAGCCGTATCTTTACGTGCTTAACAAGGACCATCTCTATAGACGATGCTTGGCCGAAGAAGAGATCCATCCGGTGCTACAAGAATGCCACGGTTCAGCGTACGGTGGTCACTTAGGTGCATTCAAGACGGTTGCCAAAGTTTTGCAAAGCGGCTTCTGGTGGCCGACTATGTTCAAAGACGCTCAAGATGTGGTATCGAGATGCGAGGCTTGTCAAAGGCACGGTAACATATCCAAGAGGAATGAGATGCCCCAAAACCCAATCTTTGAGGTCGAGGTCTTCGACTGTTGGGGCATTGACTTCATGGGTCCCTTTGTGAGTTCAAACGGAAACCAGTACATCCTTGTCGCGGTGGACTATGTGAGCAAGTGGGTTGAGGCTGTTGCATCCCCAACCAACGATTCAAAAGTGGTGGTAAAGCTTTTCAAAAGTATCATTTTCCCACGGTTTGGAGTTCCAAGAGTAGTAATCAGTGATGGGGGAAGCCACTTTATCAATAAGACTCTTGAGAGTCTTTTAAGGAAGCATGGGGTAAGGCACAAGGTGGCCACACCTTATCATCCGCAGACTAGTGGTCAAGTGGAGGTCTCTAACCGACAGATAAAGGCTATTTTAGAAAGAACCGTGAGCTCATCTAGGAAGGATTGGAGCAAGAAACTCGATGATGCTTTGTGGGCTTACAGAACCGCGTACAAGACCCCCATTGGAACCTCACCGTTTAACTTGCTCTATGGGAAAAGCTGTCATCTACCGGTTGAGTTGGAATACAAAGCATTGTGGGCAGTGAAACTTCTTAACTTTGACATCAAGACTGCACAAGAGAAGAGGGTTTTACAACTTCATGAGCTTGAAGAAATCCGGTTAGATGCTTTTGAGAGCTCTAAGATCTACAAAGAAAGGACTAAAGCGCTTCATGACAAGAAGATACACAAGAGAGAGTTCAAAGAAGGGGACCAAGTTCTGTTGTTTAACTCGAGGCTTAAGCTATTCCCTGGGAAGCTGAGATCCAGATGGTCCGGTCCATTCAAAATTCTTGAAGTAAGACCTTATGGAGCGGTTGTTCTAAAAGGAAAAGATGGACAAGGCTTTGTGGTAAACGGTCAGAGGGTAAAGCACTACCTGACATCAGAAACAAGAGAGAGAGTTACCTCAGTTCCTCTTCTTGAACCAGAATCAGCCTGAAAAGGTATGAAAAGTCAAACTTAGTGACGTTAAACAAAGTGCTCTTGGGAGACACCCCAAGCCTATCCTTGTACATATTTCGCTTTTCATCTTCTTTTTCTTTTTACTTGAAGCTTTTTGAAGGGTTTGTTAAGTGTTTCAGGAGTTAGATGGTGAATCTTGATGATGAGAGTAAGAAAAAGCTTGAAAATGACACGGCCTGATGAATTAAGTCCTAGAGTGTACGTAGCCTCGGTATCGACCCTTGGTATATACATACCGCGGTCACCGTTTACCGAGTAAAGCCTGAGAACCTCGGCTAGACTCCTCGACTCGATTTCATCATAGCCGTGTCCGAAAAGTGTCATAGTGAAATGACTAAGTGTGGGGGAAGGCCACGGTGTAAACACCTCGGTATAACTATACCGAGGGGCAAATTTCACTTCAAACGGTCTAAAACCTCGATCGAGGCCGCGACCAGTTTACACCAAGGCCGGACCGTTTAAACCCCCAGCACCAAGTGTTCTCTGTTAATACAAGTGACCTCGGCATGATGCCCTCGGGGTGGAACAAGTCGAGGCCGCTCAAGAAAACACGAGAAAAATCACTCTAGTCCGTACGGCCCACGTCATCCCCCTTGTCGCGCCATTGGGAAGCCTTTGCGCGGTAATTTGAATTTAAACGCCCGGTCAAAGCTGTTTTGGCGCGGGTCAACGGTCGCAGCTGGAGGAGAAGGGGGGACCAGTCCCACTACAGTCCAAGCGCCAGCTGGAAAGCGCGACACCGCCCATACCAGCCTCCATCCCGAGCCATTAACCGAGAGTTCGCCTTCTTCTCTCTTTTCTCTGCATTTCACGAACATATCTCTCTCATTTCTCATCCATTTCTTGTGATTCCAAGCGTTCTAGACTCGTTAGGGTGTTGTTTATTCATCATAAGCATTCCACTAAACTTGAATCTTGGATTCCCAAAGGTATTTGCATCTTAAAGAACTCATCTTTTTCCTTCGTTCTTTGCGAGTTTTTAAGTTTGTAAAATGTGGAATCGATTCTTTTAGAACATATCGACCTCTGGGAATAATATTAAAAATTCCATCAGGATAGACAACACAAGCAAAACCGGTTTTTGTTCTGAAAATCACTTGTTCTTGAGTTTTTAAAATTCTTGAGAAAATGCGCTTGGAATCGATCTTAATGATGATTTGTGTACTTGAGCTGAAATGTCTTGATAACTTGTATCTAATCGGTTGTTCTGGCTTGTTCTTACTTCTCTCTTTGATGTATGACAAAGCTATAACTATGATCTTGTTAGAGAAAAAGCTATGTCTTTGCTATCTTCAGAAACTTGTGCTTGTCGTTGTACTTGATTCTAACGGTTTCTTTGAGGATCTGTCTTGCAGATGACCGGCGACCGAGCTGTTCCCACTCATGAGACGAACAAAAATGAGGTTCAGAGGAGGAGCACGAAAGGGAAAGCCGTGGCCGTAGCACGCAATGGTGGAACAAGCAAGAAACCCTCCGCGAGATCCGATGGTGAGCCAGCCGCCAAGCGAGCAAGGAACGCCGAGCTCCCTCCGGTTCCAACCGTTGAACCAAGAAGGAATGGGAAGCAGGCAGCCACTGAGAACGATGGAGATGAGCTGAGAGCCATAGTTCCCCATGTACCCGACTATGCCAAGAAAGCCAAGAAGGAACAAAAGCCCGAGCCCGAGGAAGAACATTTCCCGACCACTGAGGAGTACTTGGACCACTTTAACTCTATAAGAGTAGCTCAAGGTCGGTTCCCTGATATGGAGCTGTTGAGGAAGCTTGAGATACTCGATGATGTTACACTCATCTTTCAAAACATGGGCTTGGCCGAGTTCTTCATGATGAGCGATGTTGCTTACGAGGGGATCACACAACAGTTTCTTGCCACTTTGGAGGTTGTCATCTACCCCAAGAGAGATCCCAAGCGTCTACATGGCAAAGGATTCGGACACATTGAGTTTGACATAGAAGGCGTGCACTACAAGGTCAGTTTCAAGGAACTTGATGAGATATTTGGATTTGAAAGGAATGGAAGCTCGCTTGACAAGTTTGTGTACCCTCGTGATGAGTTGGCCGCGTTGTGGGAAACGATATCTTTCGGGCCTTACTTGGGAGGCAAGAGCAAGACAAGCTGCATCAGGAACCCTGCGATCAGATACACCAACCGGGTCCTGGCCTCTACGTTCTTCTCTACATACAACCCTGGTGTCATTCACACGGCAGAGCTTGAACTATTAGGACTTGGACTTAAGCCGCTCATCACTCAAATGAAGAACAAAAAGGAGTTCCAAGGGCCAATGCATGTACCGTCTTTAGGAGCGTTCTTTGCGATCCAAATGCTCACCTATAGACACAATGTGTGGTGTGACCGGAAGAAAAAGGGAGCAAGGAGGCTTCAGAACGGTTGGATTGTCACTACAATTTTGAGAGCTCAAGGGTTCCTATTCCCTGATTCACCATCAAGGCCGAATCTCATTGATGAGCAATACCTAAGTAAAAGCGGTTTCTTTGGAGGCAAGTTAGGGGATAGATGGGTTTACAACTTCACGCTGATGCACAGGGACGGTACACAAGTTCTACTGCCTAACCGAGGCCTCACCATGCTTGATAAGCAGTGTAACATCTCCTTCTATGTCCTCAAGGATCAGTTGTACAACCCCTCTCTCGGCCCACCAATGCGCAAATGCACCAAGGCCATACCTAACAAGCCTCAGAACGAGAACGGCCCGGCCGGATGTGAGAATGAAGAAGAACGGCACCCTGAGAGAAGGATGGGAGCAGGCCGATATCATTTTGATCCATACGTGTGGGGTGAGCCTGAATACCACACCAAGAAGCTGTATTTGCGAGTGAACACTCTCCAAAAGTGGTGTAAGTGGCAAGACAAGACCATTCATGCTTTGGTGGACTGTGTAAGGCACCTGAAGAAGAAGGTAAAGCAGCTCACACGGCCATCTTCTCCGGACAAGAACTCAGCGACCTCGACCGCACCGATTACACAAGAGGAGGTTGGGGAAAGCTCAAACGCAAGGAACCCGGAGTTTCCACCAGGCAAAGAGGATTGGATCGACCCTGCCTCGGCGTTCTTACCTGAACCCTCGGATAGCAGCCCACCACGTCAATCCACACCCTCCTGCTCAACATCAAATCCCTCGTACTACTTGGGATCAGACCTCTCCGACTAAAGTATCGACTTCAAACCCTGTACATATGCATCTTGTGTATATCATTCTGCATTCGTTTAGTTTGTCTCTTTACTTCTCTCACACGCTTCTATAACACACGGGACTGTGTTGTTTAAGTGTGGGGGAGGAGCTTTGTGTTTTCTGATCTTGTTTTCTTTGTTCTTATTTGACTTTTGCATTCTTGAGTCTCATCTAGCTTTGTACATATGGTAAAACCGCATCATTCTAGTTGCATCTCGCATTTTAAGATCGAGTCTAAGTTGCATCATGTAGGATTGCATCAGTGCAAGGAGCAATGATAGATTTTTTCCTAGAGAGTAAATCACTCGAGAACTTGAACTAAATATGCTTGTGAAACTCATTCTGTTCTTGTAAAGCTTGAAACGATTTGAATCTGAGAAGCAAGTCTAAATTACACTCAACTCTAACTAAGTGATAACCCTGAACTTGAATTATAAATATCTTTTGATGCATTGCTTGAATTGGCTTGTGGATACCGATATACATACTTGAGCTAGAATCATTGTTTTTACCACCCTCTTTCCTTAGCTCAAGTAGCTGAATCCGCATCATGGATCAGTTCCCTCACCTTGAACCCAACTTTCTTTCTAGCCAATGTTTGTGCGTGAATTGTAAGGCCACCTTGGACTGAACTTAGCAGAAAGTGTTAGGTTTAGAGCGACAAGGGCATGTCTCATTGAGTGTTATGTTCCAACATCAAGGAATTAAGAGTATTGGCGAGAAATAAGTGTGGGGGAAAAGATCTATTGGTGAGTGGAAAAAGGTGAGCTGAGAGAAAAAAGAGAGAGTGGGAATAGCTAGGGGAATGAAAGAAAAAGAATCGAGTCTTGAATTTGAAAAGAAGAGCTCTGTTGTTCTAAAAAGAAAAGTATAGTCTCTGAAATGAAATGAAGCCAAAAAGGCTCAAGTGTTCTAAAAAGAAAAAAGAAAAGAGCTGTTTGAATAAGTAAACACCAAAGGCTTGAAAATCAAAACAAAAGTGAGTCCCCTAGTGAAAAAGAAAGCGATTGAGAGAGTGAGGATCTTGAGAGGGTGAGCAAGTGAGAAAAGCTTTGAGTGGAGTGTGGGGTGTGATGAGTCTTGCCCTTGTATGCATCGGTTGCTTTTTACCTTTAGCATTCTGCCAAAGTTTGGTCGTTCATTGAGTGATCCCATTGTTGCATTACACCCGCTTGAATATTGATGAGATCATTTTTATCTCATGACCTTACCCTAGCCAAGCCAGCCTATTTGAACATTGCATCATTTGATTCACCGGTTACGAGCTTAATGAATGTGAAAGAGTTGGGTGTGATAATGGCTTGTGGAGATTCTATGCTTTAATTGTGAAATATCTGAGTATGGCTTTGCATTGCATATTTGAGCATGAATCCGAGTTCTCCTTGTGATCACTTCTTTCTAAAAAGGAAATATGAGCTCCATCTGCATTACAACCTCTTTCTCTCATTTGATCTCTTCGCTTGAGGACAAGCAAAGGACAAGTGTGGGGGAGTTGATATGTCTATATTTTACATCATTTAGAGTGCATTTTAGAGTCCTCATCATGTGTTTTCCCATGTAAATTGAGTCTTTAGGCATGAAAATAGGATTTAGGGCTTGCATTAGGTCCCAAAGAGTTTTGCATGTTTTGAGGTCTTTATCAGGTGCTTTGGGAGTCATTTGGAGCTTAAGAAGAGGAGCAGAGAAGAAGACGGTGAAGAAAACGGTCAAAACCGGTGAAAACCGCTTGGAGGAATTTCTCGGCCAAATCGCGTACCGGACGGACAGAAACCTCGGTCAAAATCCTTACCGATCGCTCATTACCGGCCAAAATCCTTACCGATCGCTCATTACCGGCCAAAATCCTTACCGATCGTCCAACCTCGACCAAAAAGCTTACCGATCGTTCAGCACCGACCAAAGTCCGTACCGATCGACCAAAGTCAGCCTGGGTCGAAGATCAGGCGTTAATACCGCGAGTTGAGTTTTGGCCGAGGCGAAAGGATTTTTACGACCAAAAAGCTTACCGCGGTACACAGCCCTCGGCCATTTTCCTTACCGCGGGAAGCTTTTCTCGACCAAAATCTGTCCTTGTCTGCGCAATTCAAAGATATGAAATCCGGGGAACCTTCCGGTCCGAATCAGTTGGCGGGGTCTTCAGCAAAGTTGGAGATAATCAAACAAAGATCCCAGAACAGTTGGAATCATCCAATTCAGACCAGTAGGGAGTAAGATACAGCTTCCGGAAGATGCACCAACATTACGCGCATCCGAGAACTGAACGGCGAAGTACAAAGGTCACGGCGGACGGAGCCTTTCCGGACCAAATCAGCTTGCCCGGTCTTCATCAAAGTTTGAGATCTGTGAAAGACCTTTTCAGAACAGTAGGGGTCGCTCAATTCGGACGAGTAGTTTGAAAGAGAAAGTCTCCGGAGTTCACATCGGTCCAAACAGTTTATTTTCTGGTGATTTCGATGCGGTTCAAAGATGTGAAATCCAGGAAGACTTCCACTACCCAAGCTCCGACGGTTTCTTCACCAAAGTTCGAGTTTATTGAGTCACCTTGACTAGGGAACTGGTCTCAGAGCATTTGGAGTCGTGGGTCGAAAGTTACTGCTTCCGGAAAGCGACATGGTCGATACGGGCCCAAATATGTTGCGATACGCGCTAAGTGTTTCTTCAGGGCTCGGCATCATTACCTCGACATCGGCCAAGTCAAGGCTCATATTTTGGAAGTATCCTGAGCTAGGCCTCGTACTGATACCTCGGCACGTTGGGATCAAGGCATGCACACGTAAGAATGGAGCTGGACACGACTAAGTGTTGAACATGCACCTCGGTGTAGCGACCTCGGCGTGCATGCCGGACCCTGTTCGCTCAAATCCCTCGACTACCAAGCGCCTCGGCATTTCATGCCGAGGTCCATTGTCACAAACCCAGAATCAAGAACAAAGCTGCCCAAGAATACACACGTGAAGATGGATCAAAGACTAGGGTTCATGCATGTTCTTGACGTGTTCTTCACGAGATCTTCATTTGGATCTAGACTCACGTGCACTCCTCGACATGAAGACCTCGGCTTCACTCTCCGACACACCGTGGCATCACCCATCAACCCAAGATCGCGGTTCAGTACCCGGTTTGTTCCGGGCTGACCCGCGACACTTTACCTTTGCTATATATACATTTTGAGACTAAAAACCTAATCATCTTATCTCTTATCTGTTTTTAGCTTTAAGAACTTGCCTCTTTGGTGACACTCGATCATTCTAATCCGATATCTCGTTTTTGCATGAAAAATCTTGTTCTTTCTTTATTTCCTTTATCATCTAACATTAAACTCCTCATCATGACCAGCTACACGTCTTGCAAAGGACTTAGTGAGCTCGTTATGATTAGTGAGTAGTCGTTTAAGCGGCTTTAGATGAGTAGATTAGGGTGCTTTCAAGGTAGATTAGTGGGTTTAGGTGTCTAGTTTTGCATGTTTCATTCTTTAACCGACGAGATCTCTAGGCTGGATCCAAGCACATCACTTGAGGTTCAGATCCGAGACATATCTCGCATCAAAAGTGTTTGTAGAAATGTCTGAACCACTCGGTTAAGGGTTTAAGAGCCTTTCATCGCGAGAGTGATAGTTCGTTCTCTTAAATGACATTTTTGAACTGATTCTTATTGCTGATTGATTCGATGCTTCTCAAAAGACATTTTTGGTATGAAGGAGGATCAGTTTAGATGCTTAATACTTTCATGAGAAGATTAACATGCCTTGAGTTCAAAGTTAAATGAAACCGCTTGATGTTTTGATTCATTAACCAACTAGTTGAACTTGGAAGCACCCGAGTCAAGTATCTCGTCTAAAGTCCCTTGCTTTATTACATATTATCATCATCTGAATCGTTTAGTTATTATTTGCATCCTGTCTCTGTTTAGATCTAATCATTTGCTTTACCTTTCATGCTTAATCGTTTGTTACTTAGCTTAGTTCAAAACCTTCACCTTTTGTCTTGACTTAAATGAACAAACATCATAGTCTAGTGTCTCGTTGACTTGTTTGGATTGATACCTCTTTGTGCTACTTCGACAAAGGGGATTGATAGCCCTGAGACCTAAAAAGTCTTATCTATCAGTCTCGACTGCGCCCGCGTCCGCGTTCAGTTCTATTATTTTGAACGGATGACGCAACATTCGCTTCAGGGAATGGCGAAGATCCAGTTAGACGAGTTTGATGGTTTAACATCACGAGCTGATTATTTTGTTCAGCTACAAGGAAGACTTGAATCAACTCCGAGTAAGTGGTGTAACCTTTTGCCCGGTATTGTTGTTGCAGGATTTCATTTCCAGGATGAAATGTTTGGAGAGTTTTTTTGATCATGTTGAAATCACTTACCTCCTGTCCACAAAACATCATCCTGGAAGTAATTCCGAACATCGTGGAATTATATTCACCAACACTTTTGTAATCCTGGAACCAGAGGTTCAACCACTCATGTTTGGCTTTCGGTTAGATCACATATTTCTGGTGATCAAACCTATCTTTGAGAGATTTCCAAAGATCTGCAGGATCTTCTCTCGTGATGTATTCCTCTTTTAAACTATTATCGATGTGGTGGAGCAAAAATATCATGACTTTCGCATTTTTCTCATCTCATGTCGTTTCCAACTTAGCGATGGTATCGAGAAGCCTGTTTCCCCTTAGATGCATTTTTTCACCTATTGCCCATGACATGTAATTTTTACCAGACACATCAAGGGCAAAGATTTCGAGCTTCGCTAAATTTGACATGATAACTGTATGTATATCATAAATTTAGCGAAAAATTCAATTTAAATTTTGTTTTTAAAAAAAATATGATAAAAACTTTTGAATATGCGTATATTATAAAAATATATACTTAAGCAATATAAAGGTAGAACCTTCTATATGATTGAGGAGGCAGAGCCTACCATAATTTTTAACGAGGAGGCATAACCTTTCATTCCATATATAAAACAAGGAGGAGGTATAACCTTCCACTCCATATATATGATCGGAGGAGACATGTTTTCCATATGATCATATGATTGTGAAGGCATAGCTTATCATAAAGATCAGTTCGGGGAAGGCAGAGCCTATCATCCCGTAAACTTGAAAATAAATTGAACATAAATTTAAATCAACAGCTCGGGGAAGGCAGAGCCTATCATCCCGAAATAAATTAAACTTGAAATAAATTAAACATAAATTAAATCTTACCTCATTGGATATAAAAATGGATTAAGAGGCGCTCGTGCTGATAACGTGATGTATACTTATGTGTGTGCTATATATTAAAAAAAAGTGAAAGACTGAGTGGAGAGACGATATGAGGAGAAGAAGTTTTCTATTATTTTTCACTTGCTTTACTTACAAATGAGAGAAGTTCTCTATTTATAAGAGAAACAAAATTTATTAAATGTTGTGAACATAAGGTGGTGAGAAACCACACGTTTGGTAAAATATGTGGTGGGTAATCACTCTATTATTTAACATAGATGTGATTTTTTAAAAAGTGTAACGAATATTCTAGCTAATTGTCTGAAATAAATACACAGTCCATCCTGGGTCCAGTTTTATTTTGTGCTGGGTCACAATTCGACCGTTTAAACAAGCTAGTACGGTTTTTGTTTTGAAACCATTCTGATTTGCTTAAGTGGTATCTAATTTTGTTGACTCGAGGTGGGACATTCCGTTGTTTGGTTGGGTTCGTTTAGGATAAAAAAAATTGCATTTAATAATCATGAAACAAATTATAATTCACCAACTAACCAAAAAAAATCTGACATGATATTCTCTGTATATTCTGTATTAATACTTTTACATTTTTTCTTTATTTCCTCTTTCTCTCTCTTTCTTTTCTCCTCTCTCTTTCCTTCATTCTCTCTCTTTCCTTCGTTTTCTCACACAGTGCTTCATCCTCTCTCTTTCTTTCGTTCTCTCACACAGTGCTCCACATTTTTCTTTGCACCAAAAAATTACAAAAAAAATTTCAATTTCCACCAGATTTATATATTTTTCCCCCTTGATTCTCCTTCTCTCTTCCCACAAAATTTTCCCTTGTCTTTTCAAATAATCCCCAACTAGTTTAATATTGGTGTAATCTATTAAATTTTCCTTTCTTATTTTACTTATCTCGTCTCCCCGTCTATTATACTTATCAAATCCATACTATTTTGTATTTTTTGTATTTTGATCAATGTAAATATTTGTAATATTCAAATCAAATCCTAATATGTAATGTATTCAAAAAAGTCGGCCTATAAATAAAACACATAAATTGTCTATATTAACTTAGCCATGTTCTACCTGCAACATAATTTTCCCTCTTTTGTACCACTGAAGATGATGATATAGAGAAAAAAATTAATATAAAATACAGATAAGTAGATTAACTGATTTTGTCAATAGTTTCTTGATAAAATATTTTTACTTCCCAAAATCAGTTAAAAAATATTTTGACTCTCTAATATTTTTGTATGAATAGACCTGTTATAGTATTTATTAAATATAGACTTTCTATGTTATTAGTGTCATTATTGACATATGAAAAAATATGGGTTTGTTTTCTGAAATTAAAGTCATTTTAGACTTTAATAGTAGTGTATATGAATTCAAAATAGAATTGTTATTGATAAAAATAGACTTGTTATATTATTGGTGATACTATTCATGTATGAAAAAAAATATGTAAGTTTTCAATAATTCAAATAATGTTAGACATGAAATAAATTAGTATTTTATGTAATTATACAGGATTGAATTAACTAATAAGATGTTAATAATAGAAGAAATAAAATCTATGGGGTAACAACTTGTACAGTAGATAGACTGTCTATATGTGTGTCAAAGAGGATAGAACGTCCAAAAAGCTGGTCAATTGTTATTTGCTTAATTTTAGTATATTCATGACTATATTCTTAATACTTTATTGAGATTTGGTTATTCACTTAATTGACCCTTAGGATAATCGATTTTTTGGATGTTTTCTTCATAAAATAAATTTCATTGTGGAACAAATTTTATATCGGTTTTGTTGCATTATTTGTTTGTTGTTTGTTTTTTAATTAGCAAACTAGATTTTAACCCTGTGCGTCCGCACAGGAATGTTTTATTTTTTATTTCTAATATAAGTTGCATTTATTTTTTTGTTTAGATATAATTTTTTTTGTTATTTATTTTTTTAAATCAAAAAATTATTATCATATTTTAATTTTAAACAGTAAAATTTGTATATTAGTAGAATAAGATTATGCGTTAATTAAGTATACATGATGTAATGTTAATTATAAACTTTATTATTATGTGAATTTAGATTTACACATAAACAAGCTATATATCTATGAATTTGTTAATCCATCTGTTTAGTTGTCTTAAATCATTTTTAATATCTTACATGTTTTGAGAAACTAAACCGTATAACACTATAATTATAAATGTGTAACCTTATAATTATATATTTACAAATATGGAATATTTGGACCAATTGATTTAGAAAAAAATATAATAATATATTTATTTACTATTTGTGCTATTAAAAAAATGTATATATATATATATAAATTGGTTAACCTGTTAGTTTTATTGTCTCCAATAATCTTAATATCTTACATGTTTTAATAAATTAACTCATGGACCTTAAGTATATATATATATATATATAACTCTAATCAGTTCGTTCATATTATTGTATAATATAAATATTTATTAATCTGAAATATTTGATATTTTAGAACGATTGATTACGATAAAATACGATAACATATTTATTTACTATGCATTTTTATAAAAATATATTTAAATTTAAAATTTTAAATTAAATCTAACCTGTATTTAAGAAATTCTAAAGTATTAAAATTATTATCTAAATTTTTGTAATAAAATTTAATTATAATTTTTTAAAATTTTTTCGAATTTAAATTAAATTGAATGCAAATTTTTATAATTAAATTTAATTAAATTTCTAATGTTTTGAAATTTAAATTAAAAATAACCTAGATTTTAGGAAACCTAAAAATATCTAAATTAATAACTAATTTTTGGAAATTAAATATAAAAACTAGATTTTAACTCCGTGCGTCCGTACGAGAATGTTTTATTTTTTAATTTCTAATATAAGTTGCATTTATTTTTTTGTTTAGATATAATTTTTTTTTGTTATTTATTTTTTTAAATTAAAAAAATTGTTATCATATTTTAATTTTAAACAATAAAATTTGTATATTAGTAGAATCAGAGTATGCATTAATTAAGTATACATGATCTAATGTTAATTATAAACTTTGTTATTATGTGAATTTAGATTTACATATAAACAATTTATATATCTATGAATTTGCTAATCTATCTGTTTAGTTGTCTTAAATTATTTTTAATATCTTACATGTTTTGACAAACTAACCCGTATAAGATTATAATTATAAACGTGTAACCTTATAAATATTTACAAATATGAAATATTTACAAATATGAAATATTTGGACCAATTTATTATGAAAAAATATAATAAGATATTTATTTACTATTTGTGCTATTAAAAAAATGTATATATATATATATAAACTGATTAGTTTAATTGTCTCAAATCATCATAATATCTTACATGTTTTAATAAATTAACTCATAGACCTTAAGTATATATATATAGATATATATATATATATATATAAACTCTAATCAGTTCGATCATATTATTGTATAATACAAATATTTTTTAATTTCAAATATTTGATATTTTAGACCGTTTGATTATGATAAAATACGATAAACTATTTATTTACTATGCATTTTTATAAAAATATTATTTAAATTTAAAACTTTTAAATTAAATCTAATCTGTATTTAAGAAATTCTAAAGTATTAAAATTATTATCTAAATTTTCGTAATAAAATTTAATTATAATTTTTTTTAGAATTTTTGAGTTTAAATTAAATTGAATGCAAATTTTTGTAATTAAATTTAATTTAATTTTTAATAATTTGAAATTTAAATTAAAGATAACCTAAATTTTAGGAAACTTAAAAATATCTAAATTAATAACTAAATTTTGGAAATTAAATATAAAAATAAAATAAAATAAAATAATTTTGGGAATTTTTGGAAGCAAATATTAAAAGTGTTTCTGTTTTAATATAATAGATAAAATAAAATATCATAAAAAAACTTTGGGAGTGTTTGGAAGCAAATACAAAAAGTGCTTCTGTTTTAATAAAATAGATAGACTGTTTTAGTTTAGTTAGGATTTAGATTAGATTCAGTTTCTAGACCAAAAAAATTATAGTAAAAATAAAAATTTAATACTCCCTCTATTTCACAAAAAGTGTTATTTTAACATATTTTACACATATTAAGAAAATTAGCAAAAGTTTTACATTAGCTCTTTTTTTAATTCATATATTTAAAAATAAGGTTAAAATTGAATTTTTATTTAATATTTTGCATTAGAAATATAAAATGATACTCTTTGTAAAACAAAATTAAAATTCTATAATGACACTTTTCAGAGGAAATAATTTTTAGTATATTGTAGATTTTTATATTTATTAATCAAAAATATAAAATATATTTTAAATATTAATTAGTTCCGTTAATTCTATTCGGTTTCTTAAGTGTCTGTGCTACAGCAATGCTTTTTCTCGATTAAAAATTTCGGTTCGGCTTTAAGAATTTTGTTCGGTTCGGTTCGGTAATTTCACCCAATCCTGACTGTTCGACACAACGCAAAGGCACAATTTCTGAAAGCGACCTCATTTTTGAGCTTTCATCTCTTAACAAAAATGGTTGGTTCCTATATTGATCACCGTTTCAGACTCGTGTACTTGACTCGGTTGCACATCTGACTCAGTGATTCGAATTTCTCCGGCGACCGAGTTAAGAGTACATCCTCGGACTCCAGGTACCTTTCCCCACTCCGATTCACCAACTTTCCAATCATGAAAATCGTTTTGACCTTGCGGCATTCATTGGTGACCTCGATCGTCGTTTCAAATTCATCAATACTGTGATTTTTTTTTTCGTTTAGTTTAGATTCACGAGTTCGATTAGTTCTGGGATTTTCATGGTTTCCCGAAATTTAGGATTTTCGTTACTAATAGCTTCTGAACTGGTTTAGTGTGTTTTATTGAGAAGAGTAGAATTTCCATTTTCTTATTACATATTCTGTTTCTCTGCTTTAGATTTTGTTCTGCAACAATTCGTATGATTGCATTTGCGATTGAGAACTATAACATCTTCAGTTACTATCTAGCTTCACTGTTCTTGATGGGATTCAAAACCATTCATCGGGTTTCATTGTTTAAGAGCTTGATTACGCGATTGCTGAAACAGGAGATGTTAGGAAGCTCTCTAGCATCACCTTTGGCAACATTTGGTTCATACACAGATGTTTTACTACCATTGAGCATGAACTCGTCGCATCATGGTGTGGCTAGAGTAAGGACATCTCGTGTTTCTTTGCAAAAGAAGTGGATAGTGTTTTGTTCAGCAGCACAAGCTGAAACCTCTAGTAAAGATCCAAAGACATGGGAAGAATGCAAAGAAGCTCTGTCTTGTTTTGATTTTAATGTAGAGGAGCAAGACAAGATACTAGGAAAAGCTTTTGGTCATCTCCACTCGCCGTACTGGACGGAAGAACGAATGAAAGAGAACCCAAAGGTGGAAACTTTGAATCAGATACTTGAGTTTCTTAGAAGTCTCGGTTTATCAGACGAAGATCTGCACAAGGTGATGAAGAAATTCCCGGAAGTACTCGGTTGTAGCCTAGAAGATGAGATGAAACCCAACATTGGGATCTTGGAGAATCAGTGGGGGATTACGGGTAAGTCACTGCGAAATCTGTTGCTTCGGAATCCGAAAGTGTTGGGGTACAATGTGGATTGTAAAGGAGATTGTGTTGCTCAATGCACTCGGTGTTGGGTTCGGTTTTAATTCATTGGGGCTTCATGCAAAATGATCATTGATGTTTTACTTTAGCGTGTTAGCTTACAATAAGAGTAAAATTTTGATTTGTATCTAGTCCCTCCATCTTCTTGTTCCGTCACAACGATTTGAATAAACAATCATTGATCATTGATCCTTGATTTATTAAGTACCAATGTGGATACTTGCACTAGTTTGTTCTCAATCTCAAATTTTAATTTTTTTTGGAATTAAGTAAATACCTATAGAGCAGAATGTCTCTGTACTTAGTAAAAACAGAGTTTTTTGCTTCAAAGACTGGACCTCGTATTGATAGGTCACAAGAGACCAAAGATGAATTGGGCCTGGTGAAACACGTCAAGCCTATAAACTCTCAAAATGCAACTTCAAATTTTCCCGCCAACGGTCTTAATGAAGATAAACAGTCAAAAACAAAATCAAAAGTAGAGACACATTATACGGTTTCAGCTCAGGCCATATAGTTTAACACGAGGCTCTAGGATCGAGCACTGGCGATTAAGGCTACGTGTTCCTTTCTTTGTTGCTTTTCTAGGATCGAGCACTGGCGATTAGAACCCACGGAGGCGGTTCATGGAACGATGGCAAGCTCAACTCTTTGAACACCAGCACCAGCTTCAACAGCTCCGGACACAACACCAATACTAGCATCAACACCTGATTCTCAAGCTTCACAGAGCCAGAGCCGTGTTGAGATGAATGGAGTTGGATTTTCACCGGCGCCGCCTCAGCATCCTGCAACACTTTATTTGCATTCAAATCTCGGTCAATAGAGTACGCCGTCTCCTCAGATCATTGTCGCGTCACCTATGAATCTCTCTTATTGTGTGACCATTCGTCTCAACTTCACCAACTATCTGCTGTGGAAGACTAAGTTTGAACACTGGCTCTCCAGCCAGAAATTCGTAGGTCACGTCACCGGTGGTACTCCAAAGCCTCCTCCTTCCGTGGTGGTGAGGTATGGTAACAATTTTTTTGACGCCTCAAACCAGATCTCCTCGCTTGGCTTCAGAACGACCAGACAGTTCTTGCTTAGCTGTTTGGATCTATGTCAGAGGATGTATTTTGGTCTGTCTACGGTCTGCAGACTTCTCACGAGGTATAGGTCGCTTTGGCTAAGAAATACAATAAGATTTCTACATCTAGGAGATATGACCTTCAGCGGTGTTTGCAAACTGTTTCAAAAGTAAGAAAGTCCATGACTGACTACTTGAATGAGATTAAGTTGATCTTTGACTAGCTCGATTCAATAGGCTGTCCTGTAGATGATAATGAGAAGATTTATGGGATGTTGAATGGCCTGGGAAGAGAATATAAGTCCATTACTGTGGTCATTGAAAACTTTATGGATTCTTTTCTTAGTCCAACGTTTGAAGATGTTACAGTCAAGCCTATTAACTTCGATGAGAAGCTTCAGGTTTATGCATCTCAAGCGGCTTGTGACACCACATCTGGCCTTTGAAACAGTCTGTGGTGGCTTTACTAACCGTGGACAAGGCAGCAACGGTGGCAGAGGCTATACAGGTCGTGGTGACAGCTCAGGCCGTGGTGATGGTGCAGGTCGAGGTTCTTTTTCCACAAGAGGAAGAGGTTTTCCGCAGCAGTCCTCTACCAACTCCTCTTCTTCTGATGGCTCTCGGCCTACTTGTCAACTCTGCAACAAATATGGACATGCAGCCTACAACTGCTTCAAAACGTTTTGATCAGAATTTTCAGGCTCCTGACTACAACAATGCTATTGCTGCGATGAAGATCTCTGATCAGCCACCTCAATCAGGTCAGGAGTGGTATCCAGACACGGGAGCTACTGCTCATGTCACCAACTCCTCTTCACAGCTGCACTCTTCACAGCCCTACACTGGTGATGATGCAGTTATGGTTGGTAATGGAGAATACTTACCGATTACTAACATTGGTTCTCCAGTTCTGCCAAGTCTCAATGGTAAGTTACCTCTTAACGATGTTCTTGTGTGTCCTGGGATAACTAAGCTTCTATTATCGGTCTCCAAACTTACGGTTGATTATCTTTGCTGCTTTGAATTTGATTCTCATGGTGTTGTTGTTAAGAACAAACAGACAAGGCAGTTGTTGATCCAATGACATAAGGACTTGCACGTGTTGAATAAGGGCCACTCTCAAGCTTTGTTCTCTGCAAGACATCAAGCAACTAGTGATGCGATGTGGCACATGAGGCTAGGTCATCCGCGTCAAGACATTCTTCAACACCTTGCTCGGAATAAAGCCATAGTAGTCCATAAGCATAGATCCACTCTGTGTGATGCCTGCAGTTTAGGGAAAAACTGCAGACTTCCATTCTTGTCTTATGATTTTGTCTCTTCTAGGCCTTTAGAAAGAATACATTGTGATCTCTAGGGCCCTTCTCTTGTTATGTCTTCTCAAAGCTTTAGATATTTTGTCATTTTTATTGACAAATTTTCTCGATACACTTGGTTTTATCCACTTCGAATGAAATCAGATTTCTATTCAATCTTTATTTTGTTTCAAAAGTTGGTTGAAAATCAATTACAACAGAAGATTGCAATGTTTCAATGTGATGGAGGAGAGTGAATTCACTAGTAATCAGTTTGTCGCACACTTGGCAAACTCAGGCATCAAACAACTCATCTCATGCCCACACACCTCAGCAAAATGGACTTTCTGAGAGAAAACACATACATATAACTGAACTGGGACTTTCAAAGATCTTTCAAAGCAAGGTTCCTGCAACTCTTTGGGTCAAAGCTTTTCTTCACATCTGTCTACTTGAGAAATATTCTTCCCTCCTCAGTGTTGCAGGATAACAAAAGTCCTTTTGAATTTCTTGTTGGAAAACCACCTGTGTTGCACAAGTAGAATCAAACTTCCCTCCATTGTCCTCGTCTAAATTTATTATCTCTTCTGTAAAACCTCATCCTCACCCTATGCAAACGAGGTTGAAATCTGGCATTGTCAAGCCTAATCCCAAGTATGCATTACATTCTGTCAAGACGAATTATCCTGAGCGTAAAACTGTCAAATCAGCCCTCAAGAATCCTGGTTGGACTAATTCAATGAAGGATGAAATTGACACTCTTAAAGAGACAGGAACATATGAGTTAGTTCCTCCAGATCCTACGGTTCAGCCTTTGGATTGCAGATGGGTCTTTCGAACTAAGTTTCGCTCTGATGGATCTTTAGAAAAACTTAAGGCTCGTCTAGTTGCCAAGGGAAATGAGCAATCAGAAGGAATAGACTACCTAGAAACGTACAGTCCTGTAGTTCGTACAGCAACAGTGAGATGGGTTCTAAATGTGGCAACAGTTCACCAATGGGACATCAAGCAACTAGATGTCAAAAACACATTTCTTCATGGCGATTTAACTGAAGAGATTTACATGCTTCAACCCCCAGGGTTTCAAGATCCAGACAAACCTCATCATATATGCAAGTTGAAGAAGGCTATATATGGTCTTAAACAGGCTCATCGGGCCTGGTTTGATAAGTTCAGTTCATGATCTTTTGAACTTTGGCTTCATTGCACCATCGGTGATCCTTCATTGTTTGTCTATAAGAAAGGGAAAGAAATCATGTATCTTCTACTCTATGTATATGACATGATAGTCACTGGAAGTAACAACGATCTGATCAGAACTCTTCATGATTTTCTCTCTGCAACTTTCTGGATGAAAGATATGGGTCCTCTGCACTATTTTTGGGGAATTCAGGCTCATTTTCACAGTGACGACTTGTTTCTGAATCAAGAGAAATATGTCAGTGATCTTCTGATTATTGCAGGAATGAAGGATTGTACTCTGATGCCAACACCTCTTCCTTTTATGCTAAACAAAGTTCCAGATCAAGATGAACTCTTCCCTGATCCTACATATTTTTGAAGTCTAGCTGGAAAATTGCAGTATCTTAGCTTGACTAGGCCAGACATTCAGTTTTCTGTAAACTATGTCTGTCAGAAAATGCATCAGCCATCTGTTGCACACTTTACCAATCTGAAGAGAATCTTACGGTATTTGCAAGGAACAATGCAAATGGACGTAAATCTTTTCTTCAACACTGATCTTACCCTGCATGCCTACAGTGACAGTGAGTAGGCAGGATGCAAGGAAACAAGACGTTCTATGGGTGGTTTTTGCACATTCCTTGGCTTCAATATCATCTCGTGGTCAGCAAAAGACATCCTACAACTTCAAAATCATCGACTGAGGCCGAGTATAGATTACAGTCTATTGCTGCTACTGAGTTGAAATGGATCGCTTCTCTCTTGCAAGAAATGGGTATTCAACTTCTTTCAACCCCTGAGATGTATTGTGATAACCTCTCAGCCGTTTATCTCATAGCAAACCCGAGAATGCACAATCACACTAAGCATCTTGACACTGATTTTCATTATGTCCGTGAAAGAGTGTCTCTCGGCTTTTTGGTGGTGAAGCAGATTCCGGCAATTCAGCAGCTCGCCGACATCTTCACCAACTCTCTTCTGCATGCAGCTTTCTCTGATATTTTTTTTCAAACTTGGTGTAGAACCTCTCCAAGTTTGAGGGGGTGTATAGAGCTGTCTCTATACTTAGTAAAAACGGAATTTTTACTTCAAAGACTGGACCTCGTGTTGATGGGTCATAGGAGACAGAAGATAAACTGAGCCTGGTGAAACACGTCAAGTTCATGAATTCTCAAAATGTAATTTTAAGTTTTTTCGCCAACGGCCTTAATGAAGATAATAATGAACAGTCAAAGACAGAGTTAAAAGCAGAGACACATCATTCGGTTCCAGCTCAGGCCATACAGCTTGGTAACAGATTCGAGGTTCTAGGATCGAGCAGATTCGAGGTTGTATGATCGAGCACTGATGATTAGGGCTACGTGTTTTTTTCCTTGTTGCTTTTTTGGTTTTTCTATATAATGTAAAAACTGATCTTTGTTGCTTTTTTTAAGTTTTTAGAAATAAAAGTTCAAAAGTTTTAAGCTAAGGTATATTCCGTTTCAGCGGTCATCGTAGGTTAACGATTCTTTTCGTTTGGTCCTCTCTCGAGAGACGAATGGACTTGGGCCACTTTCCTTCAATAGGTCAGACTACTAAGAAAAAAAAAGAACAGAGATCAAAAGTTTACACGCGTTACTAACTCCATTGTTGATTCACTCGTCTCCATTCTAATGTAAACAAGTGACACGAGTGCACCTTGATAATATACGCGTGTGAAAAGCAAAAGCATGAATCGTATGATGTGTTGAGAAACTAGAGAGCTCGTATGTGACGTAATTACTATTTTCCACGAGATGGTCATTGCCATTGGGTGCCATGTGGTTTCTTGTTCGCTGCCATGTTTATATCCTTCCACATCATCCTCTTCACGCACTCACTAATACACTTACATAGTTACATCTCTAAAGTCCAAAGACATCAATCGAAACAAACAAAATTATTAAATATCAATGTTTCCACATAGTTAATTATCTGGATGTTTACATTGATTAATACAATAAAATATTTGGATACCCTCTATAAATATACCAAAGAGGTTTAATTTATATTCATGTGGTAGCTAATATACCAAATAAGAAAGTCCGAGAAAATAGCTTTATATCCTGCACAACAAAAAGAAATTGCCTGCTTTTCGGATATGGCAATCTTTCGAACGAAAGTGCTTCTGTTACTTATCCTCTTCTGTCTCACCACATATGAGGTTCATCACTTAATGTTGTTTAAATCATATATATTATATTTAATTAATTCATGTGTATGATAATGACCATGATGATGGTATGATCATTCTCTTCAGCTTCACCTTCACGCTGCTGAAGGCGCGGAGGTTGGTGAAGGCATAATTAAAATCGGTACGTAACCCTAACATGCAAAGTATTTTAATGTTTACATGACCTTGTTTGCGGCAATGATCATTAATAGCCACCAACACAACTAAAAATCAGGTTTTTTTGGGAATCTAAATAAAAAGTTATAAATTTTTGGTTTTAAACGTCCATTTACCTTTCTTAGCCATGGCCGGGCCTACCAACAACAGTGATTGGTAACACAAGCTAACGTTGTTTGTTTGTATGTTGTGGTTTATAGTTTGAAATATATATGTGTTAAGTGTAGATTGTGGTGGGAGATGCAAAACTAGATGCAGCAAATCGTCGAGAACGAATCTGTGCTTGAGAGCGTGCAACAGTTGTTGTTCACGCTGCAACTGTGTGCCACCTGGGACACACGGAAACCACCACCTTTGCCCTTGCTATGCCTCCATAACCACTCGTGGTGGCCGCCTCAAGTGCCCTTAATCTACTTAATTATAAACATATGTACCCATGTATGTATATTTGAGAGAGCTGGTACTCTTATGTTTTGAGAGGACAATAAAATGTGGGCCGTCTATTAACTTGGACGATCTAATTTTAGGTTACTTATAGAGGTCTGGGTCGGTCCTCGGCACACTTAGTACTTATCCTGTATGTAAAAAGAAGTAATATCTATAGAGGTTATATCCATGTTGTTATACTGAAGGAATTTCAACTTCCGAAATGAGAGTTGAATTCGAAGAGACAAAATGAAGCTTTAGATAGGCAAAAAACAAAGTATAGTCAAATTGTATAACAAAATCAAGGAGAGATTATATAAATTCTTTCTTTCGAACATAATTTTAGAGTTTTTGATTTTTTAAAAAGTAAATAAGATTCACAAACCGCGACATGCAAGATGAGGTTTATATAAACTAAAAGCAAAATGATAATATTCCATTTATCTTTTAGTCTTTCTTCACTTTCGTTTTTTAGGTACGAGTTTGTAACGAGTGAGAGAGAGAGAGATTGCGATCAAATTTGGGGTGAGAAAAGCTTGAGAGGACATCACATGTGCTCACACCAATTCTTTTAAAATGGTAATCCGGTCGAATATAGTGGCTGTGTCTTGTATTCCTACACTAACGTAGAACCAATGGAATTAGTTAGCGAATTTCCTGTCAGTAAAGAAGGAAGTAGCTCAGAAAAACTGTAAACTAATCTTTTACGGTATTCAAAGTTGTTTTGATTTGGTTATTGATTCAGAAGATTATCACCACATGACAAGTGACATTAACCCTTTGATAGATCTCCAAAGGATTAATCCATCTCCCATTAGATTGTCGAATGGAGGACTTACGTGAGCAACCCAACATGGAACAATTTGTCTTGGGGAAAAGCTTATCTTGCATTGCATCATGTCCTGTGTTTTATGATCAATAACTATCCATCACTCTCATTTCCGGTTATTTACAAAACCTTTTTGTGTTATATATATGACCAATTAAGCTTCCGAGGATCTTGATTGTACAATAGGTGAAGAGCGTGATGGGGGTTTATCATTTTACGGTAGCACTTCTACCTCATGTGAGTCATGTTGGGAAGATAATGACTCGGGATTTATGGCATGGGAGAATGGGACATCCTTCGTAAAAGTCTTATCGTTACTTTCAGAAATTGGAGTTTACAAAAGTGGTGTTAGTATTTTGAGGAATATTTTAATGTTTGCTTTTAAACAAAACAAACTTGTATTCCCTTTTCGCAAATTTGGTTTTATTCATTAGGATGTGCGGGGACCATACCTAACAAAATCTACATCTGTATTTTCTTACAATCTATATATTTATTACAATCTATTGGTTTATGGTCGGTTTGCGTCCATAATTTGGCAGCATACCAAATTGGTTTGATTAAACCAGTAGTTATGAAAAATTGGTTCTTATAACTTCCATATATGAAGAGTTGTGACTCTTCAAATTGTGTCTCTTCAATATGTATATATATGAGACATTGCAGAGAGAATTGAGTGTCTGTTTACAGTTTGTGACTGTTGGTAAACAAAGAAATTACAGAGGAGAGAGAAAACGTTTTAGAGAGAGAAAGCTTGGAGAGATCAATTAGAAAGGCATTTGAACGGTGATAAATGATTGATTTCCATCTGTGATCTCTTCCCCGATCTCTGCATCCGTTTTCAGATTATACCGAATCATATTCATTGCTAAACCGGGCAAAGGTATGTTTTCGGTTTAAACGCTTCCGCATAAAACTCTTACATTGGTATCAGAGCCTTAGGATTCGGTTCTGGAATGAACACGTTCATAGTAATCATGAATTAAAACGGTTATGTGTCAGTCATACTTGTTCATGATGAATTGGAGAAAATGGTTAATGCTTAAATGATTGAAAATGGTGAATTCGTGAATATATAATGAAATGGATTGAAACTTTGCATATATATTCTTCATATAGACTTGAATGATTCTGGAAAATATCACTTTGAGAACCGCAATAGTTTGCATGAATTTCGAAAATTAGTGAGAAAAACCGAAACTATTGTTTCATCCATATCTCTCTATCTATAATTCGGAATTACGTGATTTTAGTTTTCGTGCATAGATATTGAAATTATCTTTCGATTGATATATAGAACGCATGATTTGGTTACGTATTTAGGGAGATATAAGGGTTGAAAGTTTCGAAATTTTTTTGCTGTTTAACAATCTCTTTGAAGAAGATGATGAACAGTACCCGCGAAAAAAGAAAAATTATTTTTTTTATTTTTTTTATTTTTTTATTTTTTTTTTTGGATCAATTTTTTTTATACATGTTTTATTTGTTAATTTATGTATAAAATACTTTGATCAAGTGGGAGTTCTAGTTTAGAACTTAAAATTTTGCATGGAACAAATTAATTTATTATAACAAAGTTTTGATATGGGTGATGATTGGGAACATAGTGAACTCTCGATCTCATATAAAAAATTAAGTTATTTTCTATTAGTTTGTGTTCATGGCAAAATTATATGTTATATGTTAAGAGTATGCAAAGAAAATAATGTCTCTAAGATGTTCAAGCAGGTATGTCGTCTGCTTGTAAGAACATCATTGCTGAGCTCAACCGAGGAGACAAATTGGATGGTGAAAATTACGATATTTGGTATCGGAAAGTCCAGTATGTCCTCGAGGAGCAAGAGGTTAAGGAGACTCTTTTCCATCACATGGAAGAGCCTAGCAGGGTACTACGGCTCAACATGAGAAAGATCTGCAGGCATATGTTGTCTGGAAAAGAAAGAATAGCATCGCTCGTATCACGTTGTTGAGTTGTATGCAAGATGATCTCATGTGTGAATTTGAAGAGTACGAAACTGTAAAAGGCATGTGGGAGGCCTTGAAAGATAAGTTTGGTGCCACATCGGCTACCAAACTTAGGAGACTTAATCAAAGGTTTAATGATTATAAGAAGCGCCCAAATCAATCGATGAGGCAGCATCTTAGAGTCATGTCAAACATGATTAGAGAGCTCAAAAATACTGGTCAGATTATGTCTAATGAACAGCAAGTCCAAGCGGTTCTCCGCTCGTTGCCTGAAAGTTGGGACCATATGAAGGTTCAGATGACGCACAATGAAAATGTGAAAACATTTGAAGATATATCACGTCATCTTGAGTTAGAGGATGAACGCTTAGAGGCTTCTAAATCCTTTAGCGAGGCCAACTTTGCAAGTTCAAACTCAGATTTGAAACGCAAGAAAGGTAACATGGGACACAAGGCACCCTACCAGTCTGAACTTAAGAGACAAAAGAAAGATGCCAAGCGTGGCAAGCGTGGAGGCAAGAAGGATAAGACCAAAATGAAGTGCTACAACTGTAGCTCATTGGGTCACTTTGCTCGTGAATGCACTGAGGCAAAGAAGGTATTATCCTTAAACTCTACTTGCAAATATGCTTATGTTTCTAGTTGTGTAATGCTTACAGAATCTCATCCTTCGTGGATTGTAGACTCAGGAGCAACAGACCACGTAGCTAGAAGTCGAGAAGCATTTGTAGAGTACCGACGGGTGCCTAAAGGTACAAGATGGTTATATGTGGGAAACAACTCCAAAGTTGCTGTTCAGGGTATCGGCACTTGCCAGCTACACATGCGTGGCGGAAAAACTCTCATATTACATGATGTCTTGTATGCTCCTGAAATCCGTCGGGACTTAGTCTCTGTTTTGGCTCTACTTAAGTTAGGATTTGGTTTGAACTTCCATGACATGTGTTTGCATATTTCTCTAGGGTCTGTGTTCTTTGGTTCTGGTTACGCTTGTGATGGTTTTATTGTACTTGATTGTACTACAAATGTTACTACTAGAAGTATATGTCACAAGTTCTGAAAATGTTGAAATGAATGTGTGGCATTCTAGACTTGGTCACATTGGAGTCAATCGAATGAATAGATTGGCTAGAGAAGGTCTTCTAGGCTCACTAGCCCGAATTGATCTTGACACATGTGAACCATGTTTGGCTGGAAAATCAATAAGAAAACCATTTGGAAAAGCGACTAGAGCTGAATTTCCATTGCAATTAGTTCATTCAGACATATGTGGTCCGATGAATGTGAGGGCGAGGCATGAAGCTTCATATTTCATCACTTTTATAGATGATTTCACTCGATTTGGGTATGTGTACCTAATTTCACATAAGTCAGAAGCACTAGAGTGCTTTAGACGATATATCATTTTGGTCGAGAATCAGTTAGAGAGGACGATCAAGTGTTTAAGAACGGATCGAGGTCGTGAATATCTATCTGAACAGTTCAAAAGACTGTGTGATGAAAAGGGTATTGTCAGACAATTGACTACCCCTTATACACCACAACAAAATGGTGTAGCGGAAAGAAGAAATCGAACTCTTCTTGAAATGGTTAGGTCTATGATGGCGCAGGCTAACCTTCCAATTTCATATTGGGGGGATGCATTACTGACTGCTGCCTATATACTTAACCTTGTGCCCTCCAAATCTGTTACTACTACTCCTTATGAATTATGGACGGGAAGAAAACCCGACCTAATGCATCTGAGACCTTGGGGGTCTGCAGCATTTGTTCGCGATATTTTCATCCTCATGGAAAATTGGGTCCTAGAGGAAAGAAGTGTATCTTCATAAGATACTCTGAGCATTCTAAAGGTTATGTCCTTATCGGCGAACAATCAGATGGAAGTGTAACAGAAATCGAATCACGAGATGTCACGTTCTTGGAAAATGATTTTCCTAGAAGGGGAGAGGTTGATAAAGGACTCCATCTCGAAGAGATAGTAGAGACAACTAGTGTTCCTTCTACTAACCAATTCATGGAAGTTGATGAAAGTTCACATGAACTATCACAACTTAGTGGGAGAGAGACATTGGTTGGTGATTCCTCTATGGAGGAAGCACAAGAGTGTGAGCTACGTAGAAGTAACCGTGGAAAAGTTCCTAGACGTTGTTTTGAGATTGAAGGGGAAGCTTTTATGGTTGCTCTACATGATAATCAAGAGCCTAGATCAGTTCAAGAGGCTCTCTCTTGCCCAAACTCAGTTGAATGGAATAGTGCAATAGGAGAAAAATTAGAATCTATGAAAGTTAACCATGTCTGGGACTTGGTT